GTGAGTTCACGTTTCCGACTTCGGTGGCCAAGTGGGGGATGCCTCCTCCCCATGACAGCCTGCACAGGCGGGCTCCCCGTGAGGGCAGGCCAAGCCCCCTTGGCCCAAGGGTTGGGTCAGTGGGGTGCATGGTTTCTGCATCCTCGTCTGAGTCGGCAGTGCTGTGGACAGATGCAGCCCCCACAGGCCATGAGCTCTTGGGCCCCTCCCCGAACCTGAGGCCCCCTGCCTTCAGGCCTGTGAAGCAAGGTGGGGGGCCCGTCAGTAGCCAGTCAGCTCCGGCCTCCCCTGGGCAGCTGCCTGTGTGCCCGGTCCGTGGGCCGTGTGTCCTGCGTGCCCATGCATCGCCGCATGGCTGCCCATGATGCTGCCATCCATTTGCACACGTTGGGACTGGGATGAAGCACGGGTCACGTGCCCAAGGCCACACGCGCCGTAATCAATGGGCCGCTGGCGGAAGCCAGGAGTCGGTCTGCTCCAGGCCCCGTGCTATTTCTAAAAGAGGACCCGTTTTCTGCAAGGGTCTCTGAATTGGTCACTAGAAGGGGTCCCCTCTGAAATGGCACGTTTGTTATCTCAGAGTGCTCCTCTACGAAGCCCCGCTCACATAGATGCTGACTGAACACTCTTGGGCCGAGGTGGCTGTTGAGAAACGCCATCGATAAACTCGAAGTGTTCTGGTTTCAGTCCTAGCCAACTGCAAAAGCTCTAGGACCTGAGAAGCGTTTGTACCGATGGACGGCACCTGCTGAAACCCCACGCGGGTGACAGGGATGGGCACTTGTTCTCTCCTATTGTGGCCTTGATGTGCTTGTCGGCAGGGGGCGGCCACAGGCGGGGGGGGGGGGCCATGCCGGGAGCCTGGGCTGGGGCTGCAGGCTTGACTACATGCTGTCGCCAGCTGCGGGATGTCCTGGAGCGGGTCTGGCCTCCCCCTGGGATGCAGGTCTCTCTGTCCACCAGGCAGGGGGATGTGGGGGGTGTGGAGGTCCCTTCCACTCAGGAGTTTGAGGAGGGAGGAGGGGTTACTCACCCACTTCCCCTTGTAGGAAACGTTGAGTGGGTAGGAAATGGAAAATTTAAGCTCCTCCACACCACTTCCGTAGACCCAGCATCAGCTCAAGGGTGTGCCTGACTTGGGTCCTCTCAGACAGCCCTGACTATTGTCCCCAGAGGCCAGACCCTCGGCAGCCTGCCTGCCGGTGATACTTGGGGTCCTCAGCGGGGGCAGTTTCCTCCTCTGTCCTCCCCGAAACTGCACCCTGCCACGTGGCCAAGGTGGCGAGAGGCGCCCATATTATGGGCCACTTTCTCCCATGGGACCAGCACACACTCCCCGAGCCCAGAACCGCCCAGGAACCAAGGGGAAGTGGGTGTAGCAGAAAAGCTATGGGTGGACGTCCCTGGGCCCACTCCTGGGGTCCGGATGCTCCTGGCTTCCTGGGAAGACCCAGAGAGTGGGAAGGGTGGCTCCTCCAGTTTGCGAGGCCCCCAGGGTGTCATCTGCAAAACAGGGTCATGAAACGTGGGGCATCTAGGAAGCACCCATGCGTCTCCAACAAGCAAGCGCCGTACGGCCAATGCAGTGTGGGGCCGGTCCAGGGAGGTGCGGCCCGAGTCCCGTCCTGTACCCGTTGGGGCCTCTGGCACCTGCTGTGGGCCCATCGTCTTGTGGGAGCTGTCGTCGTGCCCCTGCACACTCTCCACACCCCACTCTGTGTTCCCTGCTGGGGGGCATGACACCTCCGCGGGCCTCTGGCTTGTGAGCTTCGCGCTGTGCAGGCTCTGCTCTGCCCAGTGTTGGCCCGAGGACCTGGGCCCTGTGCCTCCTGACCCCGCTGAGTCCCACTTACTCCTCGGCCTCCCCCCATGGGCTTTGTGGGGGTCAGGGAGAACTTAGGGGTGCTGTCTGCCACAGGTGGGAACATGGCGAGAGGTACCTTTCTGTGGTCAGTCAGGGTAACGACCACCAGGGTCCCCAGTCCCTCCAAAGAGGGGACATTTACTATCTGCTCATGAGCCATGTGGTGTGTGGGCTCCCATGTCTGCCACAGGACTGGGGTGTCCTTGTTGGTTTAGGGCACTGCGGTGAGCATGTCCAAAAGTGGCCAGACGGACTTGCCGCATCTGCCCAGACGGTGGGCTTCTCCCACTTAGTCTGCCCGTCTTGGTTAGGTTCTTCAGCCGATGCCTTCAGGGGCTCCCGTCCCAGATCAGACCTTTCCAGCTGTGGGCTTTTTGGGGTGGGGGGCGGTCAGTGGCCATTGCAAGAAGAACGAGATGGCAGAACCTTCCCTGCCCTGCAGCAGACGGCAGGAGGGGCCGGGCTGAGCTTTGTATCAAGCGCGGGAGAGACCAAAAGTGAGTGAGGGCGGGACGTCTGTCACTGGCCGGCGGGTGTCACGAGTGCAGGGCCTGGCATTGCCGGGGTCGGGGCTGGCTGGTGTCCGGGCGGCTCTCTGTGCAGGACGCCGTCCTCCTCTCTGGCTCCTGGGGTGCTCCCCTCCTCCCTGCTCAGGGTGAGGGCGGTCCCTTGGTGAGCACCAGCTCCTGCCCGCTGGCCCGAACCCGGCTTCCATTTCTGCCGTGGACGTCGCCTGCACCCTAAGACTGGGCTTCCAGGGACACTGGTCCGGGGTCCCTGCTGCCCAAGGCTTTGGGGATTTCTTCTGTCAAGAGTTCTCCCACGAATGGGCCTTTCAATGAAGCCATTCAGTGAGCTCAGTCTTTCCTAGCGGGAGGCTAATTTATTGCCTCCCCCCACACCCCAATCATTAACGGGAATATACATTTCAAACGCTGTGTAAGGGATACGGGGCCCGTACACTCTCAGGGAGCAGAGGAAAGGTGGGGTCATAACCTGTCTGACCTGGAAGCTTCTGTCTGATTTGCTTTGCCCTGAAATTGATGGGGACAGTGAAGCAATCACGGGCAATTGCACTGTCCCCACTGAAAACTGAGCCAGCCCTTCTGGACGTCAGGACCCGGGCAGGCAGCCCCTTCAGGGAGGGCGCCGTCCCCTGGGCATCTGGCTCCCATCAGTCCCCGAGGCTGCCGGGACGCCCTCGCAGGGAGCCTTCCCGGCCGGCCCAGGCCCGGGGATAATGGACCTGTGCACAGAGAAGGGGCCCCGCCCGCCAGAGGCAAAAGGCCTAAATGATCTGTTTACAGCCATCTGAGAAACACCAGATTTTTCAGAACCAGACCCGATTAGTCAACCCAGAGTGGGTGTGGGCGCTCTCTGCTGCCCCCACCCTGGGAAGCCCTGGGAAGGGGAGGCCGGCCAAGCCGATCCCTCCAGACCCTTCCGCCTGCTGCTTTCACCAACTACTATAAAAGCACAATTACCTAGGGAGGCAGCGGCGGTTCAGTTGATTAGCACGGTGAATTAAAAGAATGAGTCACAAATGACATGTCCGGCTCTTCCATACTAGTCCTTTGTATTCCCAGTGTGCCTCACCCCTGTTGTAAGAAGGTCAAAAATTAGAGAGAGAGAACAATTTTCAAGCGGCTAGCACTTAGGAGCAGAATTAACAATCACTCTGTATGTAATTGCCAGTTAATAGTAAATTGCCTTTTAGGCTGTAAAATGCAATATAAACGGGTGGGCACCTAAAATTAAATTAATGAGATATTTGCTGCATTTAAAAGTGAATAGTGCAAATTAATAACTGAGCGCCATGCTTGTTTTAATATTTGTCTAATAGTGTATCATTTGCTTGTTTAATAATAATTAAAATAGTCCTGGCAAATCATCCTACCTGAGAAACTCCTGGTAAATGGTGAACTGAGCAGTTTCACATGTATAACTTCACCAGGAGAAACACATCACATTGTTAAGAGCAATAAAAGAAATTATTTTTTAATTAGAATATAGGTATTGCCGTGTTATCTGATTAAGACAAAATGGAATCTGTATGCTTCTAATTGGAGTTCTGTTAGAACGAGGACTAGTTAACAGACACGTTTCCAAGCGTGAGGTGCTCCTACACAAATACGAGTATCACTTTTCTGCAAGTGTCCACGTGGCAGAGGGTCTCCTGTTCCACAGAAGAGCCGAGGCTAGTTGGTGGTGGCTCGCCTTCAGGCATCATTCCCCAGGACACCGGGGTGCAGCCCGCGGCGGGGGGCTCACTGCTGACCTCCTGCACCTGACTGCTTGCTGGCCCACCCTCATGTTAGAGATCTCTCTTGCTCGTTTACAGAAATGATCACAAATTTCCAGGAGTCAACATGTTGTCTGCCAATGGCCAAACCCAGTTCCTAACCAAGATATTAGCGGTTGACGGTCAACACATCCAGAGCGGGTGCAGCCCGAGCTCGACTGCTGTGCTCGGGCCCAGCTCGGGTCTGCAATGCATTTCCTTGACGGGGACATAGAAATGATGATTTTCTGCACAAAGATGTGCATTCAGTTTGCTGCTTGTGAAATCATTACTCAGCCAGTAGCTGCTAACAGTTTGTGATCTTCCCGATACAGTATTTATGTGTGTGTGTGTTTTTCTTTTTTAAGTTGGATTGTGCCTTAAACGGGGGACATGTCGAGGCAGGGACGGCCCTGTCCTCAGGTGCTGTCTGACGCTGGGCGGGTGGTAGCGGGGGGGACCGTCTCCTCGCCCAGGGCCTCCGGTTGCCTCTGGCAAGCTTCCCCCGTTCACCCCCGCCTCACGTCACCCCCTTGAAAGGCACTCATGTTTCTGAAGTGTTTTAAAGACCTTTTGTGTGCATTCAGATGTGATTCTGTCAACAGTACCATTTGACCACAGGCAGCACCAACTAGCTGTCCCCAGGCCAGCGCACTTCCGACAGATTCCTTGTATCCACAGCGCAAATGAATCCTAATTGCCCCCCACAAGTCATACTGTTTTTACCGTGCCTACACTAAATGCTCATGCCTTCTCTTCAGTGTGAGCCACCTGATTATTTCAGTTACAGATTTTTAACCACATATGTGGGCCTGGTGGAGAGACAAATATTGTAATTACGGGCCCCGGGGTTTG